CTCATCAACAAACAATGTCACACAAGAAGAAGCGCCCACAGCATCAATGCTACCGCATGATTACGAAATTAGTCTGCCCCGATGGCTGGAGCGGGTGACGCCGCCAATATTGTCAACAATGATGTTTAAAGATTGTACGGCGGTGGCACATAAGTGGCAGCAACAACGGCTACCGGCAAATTGACTAAGCGGGCAGGGCGAACCGCAGCGCAGAAAGTCCAACTGGCAATCACATATCAGAATGCAAATGTGCAAATAAGTACTTCTATTTATGTGTATGTGTGTGTGTGTGAGAATATTGTGTGTTCGTGTGTTAATTTGATTGCTATGTTATTGTTGTTGGAGCAACATCCGTTCTGTCTCAATTATAATGTGCTCCACATTTCGTTGTGTCTACACATATATGTATGTGTATTTGTGCATATATATGTATGTGTATTTGTGCACTTGCTGGGGTTTGCCTAAACACTATTGTGTTGGCGTGCAGATTATAATCAATTTCAAACAGTTGCCACTTGCTTCCAAATACGTCGCATAAATGAGTTACACATATGTAATTATGAACATACCCTACAAGAACAGTGACAGTCATCTGACTGGTCAAATGACAGTCACAGCTTAAAAAACTTTGCCAGCGCGCAGAACAAAGTTTTTAACATTTTCTTAAGAGCCTTTTGCAAAAACTGATGTAAACAACGCATGTGTGTGAGTTTGCATCTCTCTTTAACAAGTGGGTATTCGGAATTGATTCACTCATTATCTATACTGCTCACTCTCATGTCTTTTTCTGAGTCATTGCTGACCTTAAATGAAAACTGCCAGTTATGACTGTAAGTCAATCACAAGTGAAAAATTCTTTTGCGCAGTAGATAATATAATTTTTATTTCTTTAATAAATTCAAATTTTTTAATTAAAATTGGTTATAATAATATACATAAATATAAAAAAAGAGTGTAACAAAAATATAATTAAATAATAAATTATGAAAAGAAATTTTCACTTAATTCCTTAATTAAAAATTAATAATTTTATTGTAAACTTAATAATAACTTACGTTTATTATTTTTCAAAACTCCTTCGTTATTTATTTAATAAAACAAAAAATTTTATTGTACAGGAGCACGCAATACTTTTGGCTTATCGCACGAAATAACAGCTACATAAGCTATCGAAACTTCTATGGAAATATATACTGTCTACTTTCGACGTATACAGAATTTGCTTTTGGAAAAATCGTAAACATTGACAGTCATTTTACTGTTCATTTGACTGTCAGTACTGACATAATAAATGTGAGTGTATTGGTGAACCCATCAGCAGTTTCTTGTAGGGTATAAGCAACTGTCAACGAATACCCAGTTATTTGCCGCTACATGCCATTATACATGCATACAGATTTCAAGAGCAAATTCGCGAGTTTTTTAGATTTGGTCGTATAAATATTTAACGAAATGCATTTTAAGTTTCATTACGTGTATGTACTTATGTATGTTTGTACAATTGTGGTAAGATTACTTTACATACAATTCAATTTCATATGCACTCGTGAGAAAATATTATTTTTGTGACATTTTATAACTCAAATCTAGTATTCTGAAGCTTGAGTTCAAAAAATATAAATTGTTCGAAGAAACACGCTCGTCTTGCTGCGCTTTGCGTTTGAATGTGGGGGGCTCTTATAACTTGGCCAGCGCTGACCTACTACTAGCACTAGCGAGATAAAATATATACATATATCTTCTAATGACTTGCAATCAGAGTAAATAAATTCGTAAAGTAAATACTCATAATAACTATTCAAAACTAATTCTAGCTGGAGGTCTTATTTCTATAAAGATTTTAACACCGTTCTAGTATTGTTAGTTATATCAATTTATAATTTTTATGCTCTTGCAACATGTTGCTACAAAGTATAATAGTTTTGTTCGTCTAAAACCATATGCCCGTATTAAATTGAGATATCGTAATGAAACCTGGTACACGTGTTCGTAGATGGGCTTAATCGGACCACTACTACGCCCACAACTAAGCACTAAATAAAGATATAACACTGTAATTGGCAGAAGGGATCGCAGTAGCAAAAGGCATATTTGGGCTAAAGAACCTCTCGAAATCAAAGGAGAGGGCTCAATATTTCCTTTAGTCGACAAATACCTAAAAATTTTCGAGCTTCCGGTAGAATTTGTACAGAAAATATCGGTCAATTAGTAAGATATCTTAATATTTACTCAGATATTTATTGCGCCAAATATACTCTATATAATGCTTTCTCGAACAATTAATGTTGAACTCTTTCGGAACAACTTTTAATATAAAGGTTTGCCAACACTGGAAGATATATCCCCGGATTTGATCCTTGCAACTTAGCCCTTCCTTGCTTGTTTAATTTGTATCTTCATGAACTGAACGAATAACTGTATGCGAGTTGTATAAGTTAACTCCGGAACTTGCAAAAGTTCAACTAGGTTGAATTTTGCCAATGGTCAACCATTCTACACGCGCATTCGCATAATTGCTGACACCTCAACATAATTTGCGTAAACAACAGTCAGCAAACTATTAATAAATAACACTAAAACAATAGTCAGCTAAATATCAATAAATTGAAGTAAACAACGATCAGCAAAAATATCGATTTTGCAATAACAACAAATAGAGCGCATATTAAAGTGCAACGTGAGTTGGCCAATAGTAGGTGTAATTTTAAGTTAAGCTAATAATTGTAATTAGTCTTAAGTTGGATTCAAAATAAATAAGTGATGTGCGGACAAAGTTCCGCCAGCTTTTTAAAAACAATTAATAAAATGTAATTGTTTAACTTATATGCTATTTCTGCGCGCTGTTCCTATATCAAAAATTTTGCATCTAAAAGCCACATGAAACTTGTAGATTTGAGTTAATACAAAAGAGTATATTGATATCTTATTAATATAAGTACATATGTGTATACTATTTGACAAACTTCTTTTGAACCAAAAGTTATTTATCAAAACGCTACCACAGTTAAAATGCTGGTGTGGTGCCTATTATAACCTATGTATATACATATGTATCTGTACTCCGAAATACCGCTACTGGGTGCCGTTAAAAAAAGCAGACAAATTAATTTTAAGTTTTCAAAGTTTTCAAATCTCGCAGTTTAATAAATTCTGTTAACTCTCAAGCTAGAAGCAATAAAAATAATGAAAAATCTCGAAGTGCCACAGCTAATGAATTAAACCATAAGTCAGTTTTGAATAACTCATTCCTTGAGCGGATTAAAGGGACATTCGAATTCAAAAATTCGGCACCAAAAGGTGTGGCTAAGAAATTTTTCAGTTGTTGTTGTTACTTATTTGGTTCTTGTTTTTTTTTTGTTTGCTTTATGAATCATTTAAGTACGATTGCATTTAAGATTCATATTTTTCATTTAATTCTTCGTGGTTTATTTGCGGTAAAAACAAAGCCGCATAAAACACATAAGACAACGCATACCTACACATACACATAAATATATAGATATGTTCAAACCCAAATCTATCGAAATAAATCTCCTGCACCTTCAGCTTGCGACACCCGCGAACGCTTCGATTTGTATCATCCCAATTCGCCTTGGAACCGATCGCAACAAACAAAACACCAACAGAATAATTGTCTCACACAGTTGGATCCCTAATCCGAAGCATACACAATCACACAATCTCTAGGCAGAAACTCACTCGAATGGTTATATGGGTCTATATACACACATATACAGAACATACATATTTCCAGACATATGAATATGAATACCAAATAAATGTGTTTTCTTTTATTCTAAATTCATCATTAGATAAAGCGCCTTTAAGTGTAATTTGTTGTTGTTTATCTGCTACCCATTTTTGTTGCGCTTTTAAAAATCATTCGCCTTCTCACAAATATTGACTGTTGCCTTGTTTGATTCTGGCTGTTTGATGTTTTGTGGTTTGCGACCATTAGTGCGGATATATGTGTATATACATATAATATGTATACTACGTTTGTGTGCGTAAGTGAACTGTCTGGCAGAGCTGGTGTTAATCCTCGCTGTTGAGGCGCAGGCTGGTGATTACGATGATGATGATTGATTGTTATTTGAACATCGAAGACCTCAAACACTTTCAAACACATTTATAAAGAAATATACAAATATTTAACAAATATTCATTCATATAGGCATATGTATCTATGTAAAAGCATATGCGCAATGAAGACCCAAATAAGCGCGGGCGGTCGTCTAACAAATTGGGTGTCTCCCCAAGTCTTGTGAGTTCGTCACAAGCTTATGTCAATAAAGAGGCGTCTAAAAGAAACACATTATTGTAAAAATAATGAAGTCTAAATGAACTGAATATAACTATAAATACACACACAAACGCATGTGTAGTAGACTTAAGAATTGAAACTGAATTCAGGTGTTGAGAAATAAATTAATCATTCGCTCAACTGGTTTTAAATTATTGTACAATTGTACTTGTAGTACTTCTAATATGAAATCATATGTAGAGAGTTGAGTGTAAGGTAGCCTCGGCATGCGTTCTGCGTGCAAGAATATTGAAATTCTTAATGAACTGAACATCCTACCAGCAGGCTTCAATTAAAACGCCTGAAGAAAAGATATAACACAAATGGGAAATATTACCCAATAATTTCGATATATTCGTAGACAAATCGAACAAACCCTTTTGGTAACTATTATTCAGGGGTGTTGTGGAATCCAAAACAGATTTGCTAAGTTGTCAGAATTGCAAACCACTTCTGTCCTTTTCGAACATAACATACGCAAAACCAATATTATAATCAGTTGTTTATTGGTGTGACAAAATTTGCAAATTAATAAATTTGGAAGCAATTCTATTTAAAGTTTACAAAATGAAATGTAGCTTACATATGCTTCAATGCTTGTACATAAATATATATAGTGATGTGTGATGAAATAGAGCCAGTACTATAGATATATTTTAAATCAATATATTTCAGAATTTTTTTTATTATTTTATTTTTTTTTTATTGGTAGAAAAGAAACAACGCATGGAGTATATATTAAGATACCAATTAAAAGTCTTAAGTCTAAAATCAAAACTAAAAACTCATTAGCATGTCCCGTTTTGGCTGTGCTTTGAAATAGAGCCAGAAGACGTTATTTAAATTTATTTGTTTCCGGTGATTTGAAATCTGTAATTTTTAATGAAATAAGCAAAGAAAGGATAAAGAATAATAACTGTTACATTAATATTTAGTGCAGTATCCATAGTTTTTTATAACTGCTATGCAAAATCTGGACATATAATCTACTAAATTCTGGTACATAACGGCTGGAATTTTATGCCATGCGGCCTTCACTAGCCTCCAAAGGTCCTCTTTATTGGATGGATTTTGGCCTCTCAGAGCCACTTTAAGCTGCCGCCATAAATTTTCTATAGGTTTGAGGTCTGGAGATTGCGGGGGAGAGCTTAAAACTGCCATGCCGTTTTGTCTCAACCATTCCTTTGCCCGCTTCGATGTGTGTTTCGGGTCATTATCTTGTTGAAAGACGCATTTAAGGGGCATATTAAACTCCGCATAAGGTAATATGGTTTCATTTAAAATCTTGGTGTATTGAAATAGCGGACCTGTTCTATAATATGAGAAGCACCCCCAAACCATTATACTCCCACCTCAATGTTGTATCGTATTTTTATTGTGTTGTGGAAGGAATTCGGTATTAGGCGGTCGTCGCACGGAACGACTACCTTGCTTTAAGTTGAATAAATTCACTTTGTTTTCATCTGACCCAAGAATTTTTCGCCATGTACTAACTGGCCATTCAGCACGATCTTCGGCAAGTTTTAACCGTTTTTTTATATTGACTATGGTAAATTTTTTTTTGATTTATAACTTTCGAATGGTTAAAGCATTCACATTCAAAGAATATTGCTTCTTACGGGCGGAAGAGGTCACAAATGGATTTTCTCTCACCTGACTCAGGATTCGCCTTTGAAAAACCGCACTGATTTTGGATTTTTTACCTCTATTTTCTAGTTTTTCTTTATAATTTATTGCATTCGCAACCAATTTGGTTTAGCAGCCTATTCGAACTATTTTGTTTTGGCTTTTTGATTGTAAACTCAAAGTTTTTATCAGTTTTCGGCATTCAGAACTGCGGTGCTCATTTATATGAAACAACAAAATTTGCATTAAATGTATAAAATTAAAACTCTTTACTCACGTTTTGTTAAAAATTTTATTAAATTATTCGCTTCGCAAAATGTTTAATTTTATCGTTTGGCTCTATTATTATTAACACACACGTCATTGCACCGTCAATAGCAGGCTTTCACTGATTCGGAAAAAATAAACTCGCAATTGACTTCAGAAATACTTGAATAATATTCAAAGATTTATCTACCGTGAGTTCATAGAATATTAGGTTCACAATAAACTTTTAAATGAAGTAACATCGTCAGCGATTGTGTGGCTTTATTTTATCGCACATCATTGTATGTATTTACATGCTTACTTTAAAGATTTACGAGTATATCACATGTTTTTAAAATTTTCTTAAAATATCTGAATTCTATAACCTTAATAATTGTGGGATTTTATATTTTATTCTTATGTTTTCCTCTATATAATAAAGCTAAGTTAATTTGTAACAATAAAATAAATTAATTTCTTAAATCACATTTTAAATTTGTCAGCGACTATCTCCTTACTTTGTTTCTGATAACAAAACCGATAAAATTGCTTTCCATGATATCTAAAACTGATACAACTTCTGTTTCAAAAGGCGAACCAATAATTTATCTTTATGAAGCCTACATACTACATTTTTTTATCGGTTTGAGTTCTGAAATCTGTCAGATTCTACAACACCCCTGATTAATTTTTGAATAGTAGGTAAGTGAAATAATGCACTCAACAGCCTAAATCTCGTAATTAAGTGTCGGTCGGAACATGGTATAATGAGTATATCATTAGCATTGTCATGGTAAGCACAATAAGATTTTCACTTAGGTGTCTTCATACTTTGTCTTAAAACCCTTAGTAAAACTCAACCAAAGAAATACTCCTTAAAAAAATTTAATAAAGCTAAACACCATCATTTTCGAGCTTTATGTGTTGCTACGATATTTTTTTCTACTGGGATAGCACCTTAGTAAAGAAGATATCTGTACGATTTCAAATTTGTAATATAAAAAAAAGCGTTATCAAAGTTTTGGTTTTTGTTCAATTATTTACTTGCATAGTCACACCACACAGCAAAAATAAACTCTGATTCCTTTAATACATTCAACAAAATAAAAAAGTAAATATATACTTTATAGAAAATATTTATATACGCATGTCAAAAAATAAGGTATTTTCTTTGAATATTTTGATTAATTAAGGTTGTAAATAATTAATATGCTCTCCTTTATTGGTTGAGTCAAGATGGCATCGATTCAAGCAAAGATTTTAGCGTTAACACGGGATTGAAGCCCATTTTCGCTGTATTGCCATTTTTAATTATTTTGCGGTAATAAACGAGCATCCATTTTTAAAAACTTTATCAGATAATATTATTATTCGCCACAGATCCTCGATAGGGTTTTAAGCCGGCCTTTTTTCTGGCCACTTCAAAAGCGGAATTTTTCTGGACTCAGAAAACCTTTTAGTAAGAGTTGCATTGCGGATCGGGACATTGTCTTGTAAGTAAGTCGAATTGTCCTCGTAAAGTTACCCTGCAAATTCTATTTATTCACTATCAAGCAAGTCGAAATATATTGGTACATTCGTATTTGTCGCTATGTGGCTTATTAATGACTAATGACAAGATTCTCTTGCTGAAGTTTTTAATAATATCGACACGACTTATGATTTGATTTTTCTTTCGTAAATTAAATTGTTTGTACTTATTGAATCTCGTGGGTTGTGTTGCTAATAAAACTACATATATATTTGTAGTGTGAATAAGTGTTTACTCCTGGAGAGAACTTCCAGTTCCTTTACTCTTAACTATTTTTGTTATAATTCTGCTCTAAATTCATTCAATCATTCATCATTTCTGGCTGTTTATGTGTAAATTTGGGCGGTGTTTAGGGTAATTCAACCCAAATTATACACTATATTCAAAGCCATTGAGTATAACTCAAGTGTATGATGCAACTTGGTGGCTAGCTCTGTTTGATTATGTTCACACGAGGACTTTTTTGGCGTTCAACCCGGCACGCAAATGCAGAAAATTGTCCGAATCAAGTTGTGTGTGTCGGTCGTGTAAACGCAATGGGGATACCAAAAGAGAATTTGCCTATATGAAACGACAAAAAGAGTCCTCATCTGAGCGCAATCTATTACGCTGGAATGGTTTGAAACACAAGCAATTGAAAATTAACACTTTCATGATACTTAATGTATATAAAGTACAACAAAATTCAAAGAAATAAGGGAGATAATCCTTTTAGTTCATAATATTTTTAAGGAGTGCCACCTTTTAATATCTTTCCAGTTTGACTGTATATTAATAAAGCAATGGAAATATTAAAATGTGAACATCCGACCAAGATTAAAAGATATTTATGTCAGAGATATTTTTGCGAAGGGTTGCCACCTGTTAAAATAAAAAAATGTGGGCTTAAAAATGCTACAGGCTTTTAGAAAATTTTTTTTATAATAAAATAAACAAAATAATGATAATACTCAGATCGGTTGCTAAAAGACGTCGGTAAAGTTGGTTACTAACATAAAAGGTAAAGGTAATATTGTAATATTGTGCATTATTTTAAAACCAAACCATAATTTAGTTAGTGGAATAGACACATAGTATTTAAAGTTTAGTAATCTAATCCGGCGTCTTAAATATGGTATCTCCTAAATCTTTTGGACCAAGTCTGTTTTATTTTGGACTATGTCATTTTCAATCTGACATAGAAAACTTAAATGACTACATTTTAGCACAATTGAATGATAGCCAGGAATTTTTAGTTGCAGTATATACTGGTGAACAGCCAACTGCATAATCCCTGATGACGACGCGGCACGTTCCACCAATATGTAACACTTAAGAGACACAAATTCAAAAACCGCTGTCATCAGTTTATAAAAAAAAAGGTTTGAGCAACTATCGGATAGAACTTTTTTGAGTTTGGTTAAAAATTAGATTCGGTTACGTGAAATTCCCACCCATTCAAGCCGGTCGACAGTCTAAGCCGTGGCATCTAATATTGAGCAGGCAGGGAGACATAGCTTGCAATCATATGCTTTACATATGCACTCATGTGCAAAAAGTTTTATATACATATATCTATGTATACCATTTAAGTGAATATATACCTTATGTATGTATAGGGATCTACACATTTCTGCTTCAATTTTGTCCCGAAAGCACTGCAGCTTCGTGTGGTGAACATAATAAAAATTGATTGACAGCAGGCTATCATGAGAATGCACACACCATGAATGCAAACTCAAATGCTTAGTATGAATGTATTGTATGTAAGTATATGCACATATACATATGTATAAGGAGGTATATACTTGACTACAGGCTTACGTTTTACGCGTCGCCTTCACATGCAGCCATAAAGTGTTTACATATGTGTGTGTGAGCATGTTTAAAATAAGCTGATGGATGCCTGAGTTGCTGTTGTTGCTGTATTTGCTCCAATATATTTGTCGAACAGAGGATTGCCGTTAAAAGCTTTTACAATTGTTTGCAACCATATTCTGCAAAAGGAATACAAAAGCGAAGGAGAAGTGGACAAAAAAACGGAATAACGATAAATTGGTTACACGTCACACACAGTGTGGTTATGACAGCAGCAGCAGGCCACAACAACAGTAGCGCTTGTGGTAGCAGCGAAACCGTTTTAAGATGACCACAGAGCGATAAGTGGTGCATCGGCAGCGTGCAATTTCGGCGGCGTTTCTTTCCGCTTCGATTTAACAACCGCACAAAGGAACGAATCAAAACAACTCTGTGGCCAAAACTGTCAAATCTCTCTCTATATATATAGTATATATATGTATAGTATGTCTGACGTAGCTAATACTTCAATTAGGACACTGAACTGTTTGTATTGTCAGCTGATAGACGGACGAGGCTGTCGGCAGTTAGTGGTTGCTGTGTTTGAGACTTCGTCAGTCGCGGCGACGGCGTTATCAACTCACAGCAATCGGTTAATGATGATGTATCTCGCACTCTCATCTTTTTTAAGTGGGTGAAGTTCAATGCAAGCGTCCGCCAGAAGTGCAGAAAACCGTAATGAAATGAACTGCGCTCGACAAATCGCAATGCCGATCAAAACCGATGCAAGCATGTTTAATAAAAAGGAAAAAATACAGCTTTTAGCATCAATACTCGTTAAATAAAATGTTTGCTTTAAAAAATTCTCTGTGTAGGTTAACTCGAAAGGTTAGGAATGCAATACATTTAACAACTCAAGTTCTCGATAAATCGTCTTATAAAACTCGTTTAAAATAATTTGGTTTTTGTTAATCAACTTTCATTTCGATTTTCCTTAACATTTGCAAAGCCATTTTTCTATTAAAGTCTCTTATATAATTCAGTCAGTGAAAAGTTCCGTTAATCACGACTTATGGGTATTAAAAGGTAAATCATCCCTCGTTGCCCTTCAGTTCGTCTATGTCGCGCTGGCTATACCATATACGGTGGTACCACGGATCTTGGGAACACAGGCGGGAACATTTGGATTAAAACAGCTATATTTAGTATATTTATGTATTATTGTGTTATTTATGTTAGTATGTTTTTATCGAAAGCAATTTTAATCATTTTGAAGGTATTTAGCCTGTGACCTTTTATGTTGAACTGTATAGCAATATATATTGGCCTGTCACCAGTAGAGTCTCGGGATGTGGCAAACCCTCTTCACTAAGATCTACACTAAGAGGTCCACTTGTGGCAGAAACCTGTACCCTTATCACTAGCTAACTGTAGACTCAGCGCAATTGCTGGCCACAACTTATGTGGCAGGCCGTAATTAGTTCGACATATTGTTGCACCAAAGTAAAACAATAAAAAATTAAAAGAAGTAAGGAAGTGCTAAGTTCGGATGTAACCGAACATTTTATACTCTCGCAAAGCAAATGTATAACATAGAAATATGAAAAGAATGTTATGTACCGAATTTGGTTGAAATCGGTTAAGCAGATCCCAACATATGGGTTTTCACCTAAAAGTGGGCGGTGCCACGCCCACTCAATAATTTTGAACGCGGTTCCTATAAAGTCATCTCATACCATCCCAGGTGCCGCCAGTCTCTGGCGTGTTTAGTGCTTGGTTTATTGCGCTTTTAATATTTTTTAACAGTACCGTTATATGGGGAGGGGTTGTCACCCGATTTCAACCATGCCACCCCATCACACTGTCGATAGAGGGTCCGAAAACATTTGTTATCAGTGAATTTTGTTATTATAGCTTAAGCGGTTTAGGAGATATGCACATTAAACTTATTAGGGGCGGGACCACGCCCACTTAAAAAAAAAATAACTACGGATGCCGCTCCCTAATGCGATCCTGTGTACCAAATAGCAGTCTTGGCAGGGGTCCGATTACGCCCATCTGCAATACCAACCGTCTTACGGTACCAAGAAACATGTGTACTAAGTTTCATTAAGATATCTCAATTTTTACTCAAGTTACAGCTTGCACGGACGGACGGACAGACAGACGGACAGACGGACGGAGGTGATACAAACAACCGTTAGGTGAACAAAACTATTATACTCTGTAGCAACAAGTTGCGAGAGTATAAAAAAAAAAACTTTAAAAAGTAATAAAAAATTTCCTGTTTTTTTGTGACGTTGCTGTTAATGATGCCGATGCCGCTCCAATTGCTGACACTTGTTTCCTGTTTGCATTTTCCGTTTGCTCTCGAATAGCGTATGTGTTTTTATAATTTCAACAAAGTATTGCGTTGGCTTTCGACTGATTAAACACATTAAGCTGGACGTCAAATCGTTTGATGTCTCTTAGTTTTTGCGTGGTATATATATACTTATATATATATATATAGCCATGTATGTGCATGCATATGAGTGTGTGGCAGCATTTAAATTAGCCACGGGTTTTTCAACTTTGAAAATTTTAATAATAAACGAACGTAATTGCTTTTTCATAAATAATCTTTGGTTAAATTCACAACAACAATGCATGACAACATTCATTAATAAGTGGCCAATAATTGAGAATTTATAAAGAGCCAATCAATTGTGTGGAAACTGTTAACCAATAACGACGTTGATGTATGTGTGTGTATTCATAATTAAATTGTTTTGTAAGGTGGTCTGCTACGAGGTACTACTTTTCATTGAAATATAATTAATGTTAGTGTTTCTTAATTGCCACAAATATTTATTTAATATATCTGTAGTTATTGTAGCACATTCACTTTTGCAACACTTTTATAACAGCATTTCAGTTGCACCATGCAGCGTGGGAAAAGAAAGACTTTTTCTGGCTTATTAGATCAGAAAAAATGTACACTCTCCGTTTACAGACCCCCCACATGTAATTGCCTCAATGAAATCAAACTTAGAATATCAGACAAAAGACACAGGTTTGTGTACCCTACTGAAGGTTAATGAATTTGTCTAAGACTGATGTCGAAACTTGACTTTTATTTTTATAGGGGCAGTCAAATGGTTTGGATGCAGCTTTCTATAATTTTTTATCCTTTAGTACCAAGCAAACCATTCCACCATTGTATGAGAAACGGTTATAATCCATTGTAGCTCTTAACTAAAATGAATATTTGTAGTGCCACTAGAGGAGTGAGTACCAGGCATTAGCCGCAATCGCACAAGTATCAAATTCAAATGTGTGAACGAACTATCAACGAGCGAATGAATAAGAGTGCGTGTGAATGACATAATTGAGCGATCTCGCGGTTATAGTAGAGCACATTTCCGCATTGATGTTATTCCTGCTATTTAATTAGGTGCTTACTGTTTATTCATATTCATATCTCACATTTTCTTAAATTACTTACAGGTGGTTTTGCCATTTCGATGACGACAACTATGTGAATATTCCACGATTAGTCAAACTCTTGGACGAGTACAGCCCTTCAGTTGATTGGTACCTCGGCAAGCCTAGTATTTTTTCGCCACTGGAGATACATCTGGACAGTGTGAGTTTATATAATGTCGCCAATAAAGAATCAAAAAATTAATGCATACATTTATATTGAAAACAGTATCCTACTTCAACGCATAAAAACAAGACATCGAGTGAGAAAATTTCGTTTTGGTTTGCAACAGGCGGCGCTGGCTTCTGTCTAAGTCGTGCACTCACTATGAAAATGTTGCCAATAGCCGGCGGTGGCAAATTCATTAGTATCGGGCGGAAAATACGATTTCCTGATGACGTCACCATGGGCTTTATCATCGGTGAGTTTGTTTTCTTTTTTTCAATTAAATGAATTCATATTGAATACGTTAATTTCCTGGCGGAAATAGTAGTTTATTTGTCAGAGGAATTCAGGAAGTTTTGTGACTGATAAGAAACTCTCTCTAAAAGAGAGAAATAACTTTTTGACTTTTTTTAGGCTTTAGATAGTAAATTAACTAACATAATTTTAATAATGGAAAATCCTTAAAATAAATCTATATTTAATGAATTTGTGAATGTCCTTTTGTATGTAAACACAATTCCCCCGATTTTAAAATTGAAACTTTAGTCGTTTAGACAACCCTGCTATATAAATTCTGCCTGGCAGCTATAAAACTTGTAAATTATTATATAATAGTTGCACATAGTGCATTAGCCCTTAGTCAAAGTCGGCAAAAGGTAAAATTGCCTTCAAAAATATAGACATGAATGCACAGATTGAACAGATTCAAAAGCAGGCGCGTTTTGGTATATAGCTTCTGTTCAATATTTTGCCCGCCAACTGTTATCAACCATCTAGACCAGGGGTGCTCACGCTATAGCTCACTTTAGCTCCCAACAACATCAATGTGGCTCCACAAGAGCATTACTTTCAATAAACTCAGAATTCGCAAAATGGTCACAATTAGCTAATTGGCTTGTGCTGGTGCCGTCTTCTGTTATGTCCTTCAGGACTTATATTAAGCTATCTATTTTTTCTAACAAGAATGACATGAAGTGAACGGTGTGAGTTTGACAGAGCTTTGTTTAATTATACCCTAAATACTGTATTAACTTTGTAACACCTAAAAGGAAACGTCGAAGATCCAATAAAGTGTTTACTTATATAAATGATCTGCATTAGGAGCTGAGTCGATTTCGCCATGTCCGTCTGTATATACGCTAAATAGTATTTTAGTTTATGAGATAGCCATCTGAAATTTAATCAAATTTTGCACACGTTCTGCGGAATAAATATCTTTTTATAACAAAAAATGCACCTGTGAAGGGTATTATAGCATCGGTTAAACTTTTTTAGTGTTATCTTTATAATATATATATAACATAACAGGGAAGTTCAATGCAATTAGCTTGCATGGACTTAAGAAACTTTTATCTAATCATTAGTATTTATATGCATATTTAGTTTTTTTTCATGTATATTAATTACAAACATTTTAAATCTTCGAAAAGATGAGAGCTTTATTGATTGAATTATTCTATTTCAGAGCATCTACTAAAAGTTCCGCTGCGCGTAGTCGAGAATTTCCATTCGCACTTGGAGCCCATGGAGCACATACGTCCGGACACTTTTCAGGATCAGGTTTCCTTCAGCTATGCGCACATGCGAAATCAGTGGAATGTCGTAAGGGTGGACGGTTTCGATTTAGCAAAAGATCCAAAGCGTTTCTACTCGCTTCATTGCAAATTGTTTCCTTACTTCAGCTTTTGCCCACCCAGATGATTCTGCTGAATGCGAATGCAGAGAAGTCCCCAGCAAGAAACTTGCAAAAGTTTTGTAACTAAAACTCAAAACTGTGATGTAGATTAAGGTGTAAAAAGATTCCCGTGTATATAAAAATATAAGTTATATAAATATAGTTGCCTTAAACAAAATAAAAAACGACAATATATATAATGCTAGCTAAATTCATGTTATCATCGCAAACAATCTAAAATTTAATGATAAGAAATATTTATGTAAAATATAAGAAATTATCGTTTGAATTATAGATCCTAAGGAGTGGCAATAGTAAGTTACTAAATTGTTCCAAAACATCTAATTAAGTGCTTCCTTTAATTATTAAGTATTGTTCTATATTTTTTTAGGATTTCTAGTCTCTGAAAGAGAATCAATGCAAATGTGTACATGCTTCAATGCTGTTGTTGAAATTTGCGCAAAAAAATATATTCATTGTAAATATTTAGTATAAAATTTGTATATACATAAATAGTAAGTATATACAAACATACAATTTGTACTTTAAGTCTTCCATTTACATAAACTCTTCCAGAAAATCAGAAAAGCATTCACAATGCAAAATACAATTAGTCCTTATATACCTATTTAGCTACAAATACAAAATGGTGTGTTAAATATATAATAATAATGATTGATGATATATTTTGTAGACGGAAATAAAAAGGTTGTGTTTTACTAAGTTGACCTTGAGGCAAGAATTCATATTTTACAATCTTGCAACATGTTGCTTCAGAGTATAATAGTTTTGTTCACATAACTGTTGTTTGTATCACTTCAAACTAATAGAGATAGATATTATATATATTATAGATAGGTTATATATATAAAATTGAAATCCGAATGTTTGTCTGTCTGTCCGTCCGTCTGTGCAAGCTGTAACATGAGTAAAAATTGAGATATCCTAATGAAACTTGGTACACGTGCTCCTTGATAAAATGACGAGTTCGTAGATGGGCGTAATCGGACCACTGACAACGCCATTAAATAAAAATGTATACAATGCCTTAACTAAGCACTAAATAAAGATATAAAACTGTTATTTTGCACAGGGGATCGCATTAGCATGGGCACCTGTGGGTAAATACTTTTGAAAAATTGGACGCTGCCTTGCTTTCTAACAGGTTTAACATACGTATTTTGTTAATCAAAAAATGAATTCAATTTTACACCCGAGAAGTTATCAAAGGTCTTTATAGGAGCCAATATAAGACAATGTTCGTGGAATAGCCACATTTAGGTGAAAACCCCTATCTCTGGACCTACTTTACCGATATCTAGACCAAATTAAGTAAATAATATTACCTTGACATTCCTATAATCCAGTGCGATGGTTTAAATCGGCCTACAACCACGCCCACTTCGTTTTAATACAATTTTAAATTACATCTGATTTTTTTACTTACAAGTATGCAAATAAAACACCAATATATGTATAGGAAAAAAACTCTGCCGGAATATTGCGCTTAAAGTAGGCCACCTTAAGAACAAAAATTGTCAAAATCGGACTACAAATGTTTAAGCCCTCAGATACCGAATATGTGACCCCAATTCTTACAGCGAACATTTTATCAATAATATCGGTCAATATGAGAGATATGTTATTGAAACTCGAAGCAAATCCTGTCCTGATAACAGTATGCCTGTATGTCAGAAATGGGTTGAATCGGATGAAGGCTTCTCTTAACATCGGCTAATATGTGAATTATTTTACTGAAAACGAAAGAACGTGTTTTACTAATAACAATGTATCTTTGTACTTAAAATAAATAAAATCGGGTGAAAACTTGCTCTAGCCCCCATATTACTAATATCACGATTTTCGAACATCAGGCTGGCTTTACTCCATATATAATAATAATTGGTGATGGTAAATGTACCTTAATGAAACCTATGGGGCATGTTATTAGTATGTGATATTGTAAAACTAGTTGAAATCAGGTCAATGCATCCTTCAGACCGCATATATCTAATAAACAATTTTCCAACTTCCGGTTAGAATTATACCATATACCGCATTACCCTTACTCCCATGTACTACATACATATAATAATTTTTGTGTTTCTAACAAGCCCCCAATATATCGTGTATAATGATTTCCGACTTTCCGCCGGACTTTAAACTGTACAAGTTGGTACTTCCCTGAAAGTGAGTATATGACCTTCAATATAAGTAATGAAACACCAATTTCGATTGCTATCCATTCACGATTTCGTTAAATAGTGAATGCTGAATTCTTTCGCAACATTTTTATACTCTTGTAACATGTTGCTACAGAGTATAATAGTTTTCTTCACCCAATGGCTGTTTGTAAATATCACCCAAAACTAATCGAGTTGGATACAGGATTATGTATATATCAATTATCAGGATGATGAGACGAGTTGAAGTCCGAGTGACAGTCTGTCCGTCTATCTCTGCAAGCTATAACTTTAGTAAAAATTGAGATTTCTTGATGAATCTTGGTACATTGCAGATGGGCTTAATCGGACCATTACTACGCCCATAAAACGCCATTAATCGATAACCTATAAAGTGCCATAACTAAGCCTCACAATAAGATACAAGGACAATGCTACAACGAATCACATAAGTGAGGGGCATCTGCTGTTTAAACTTTTTTTAAAGTGGACGTGCTCCCGCCCTCTAATAGGTTTAATTGGCTTATCTACCAAACCGCTAAAGCTGTAATAACCAATTAATGTTCCCGGCCATTCCCCATTTAACGGTTTTAAATAAAACTATTGAAAGTGCGATAACTCATTAAATAAACAAGTCAGAGACGTTGAATTGTACAATAGTATGATACAATTAAGCTTTATAGGAGCCAAAACAACAATTGGGCAATGGACGTGGAACCGCCCAGCTTTAGGAGAAAAATCATATTTTGGGACTTGCAAGACGGATTTCAACAAAATTTGGTTTGTAATGGTCTTCTAACATTCATATGTTACGTTACGAAAATGGGTGAAGTCGGTTTACAATCACGCCTACTTCCCATATAACACAACTTTTAGTTCCATATGATTCTCTCACTTTCTAGTATGCAAATCAAGCAAAAATGTGTCGGGATAAAACTTTGCACCAATAACGCCTTAAAAGTATGCCTCCTAATGACCAAAAATTGTCGAAAACGAACCGAAACTGTTCAAGACCCGATGTACTGATTATGTGGACCCCAGTACATATAGTTGACTTTTTACTAAATATAATGAAATTCATGAAATATAATATCTTTCTCTTACATCAGTGCGCCCTGCTGCCATAAAGGGGTAACATCGGGTCAATACTCGTACTTTCCCTATTAAAGATTCACATTAAGATGTGATAATAGATAAACCGTGTCCCTGTCTGTTCAAATGCTATTTTCAATCATTTCAGTTTTGCGACGCATTTTAATATGAAGTTCATGAAGTCAACATGATTGAAAAGTTTCTGCGCTCGAAATGAAAAAATACTGTTTTTGGTACGAAATATATACTTGTATATAATATATCCTCCAATAATTTTATGCCCTCCCTATTATGACTTTCCGGAAGCTCTGCAAAATACCGTCTACGGCTGTAATAGCTTCTTCATTCGACGAAATGATTTAAACGAAGGAATTGTATCAGGTTTCTGAAGAGGTAGTAGTCGCTGGGAGTCAAATCTGGTAAATACGGTGGATAGTCAAACAATTCGTACTTTAATAGTATAAATTATTCTTTTGTGCTGAAAACCAAGTCTTTTCTCACGAATTTTTTCATCCAGGTGATCCAAAACGCTGCAATAATATTCACAGTTGATTGTTTTACCTTTCTGCAGATAATCTATCAACAAAATTCCTTTTGCATCCCAAAAAACTGATGACATAAGCTTATTTGCTGATCGTTGTGACTTCACCTACTTTATAGCAGAACAATCAGTTTTAGTTCAATGTAAACGTTCTTGTTTCAATTTAGAATCATGGTGGTAGATCCAAGCCACGATGCAAGAAATCGGTTTTATTTCACTTAAAACGCTCTAAATTATGCTGAGAAATTTGTTTTCGATTCGAGAGAAAATAGTGTTATAGAAACTGATTTTACTGACAATTCTACAGATGTTAAAAACATTTAATTTCGAAATATAAAAAAGCGTCGTACTTAAATTTGTATTTGCTTCGGGGATTATGGTTTCTACACTAAGTGCGCAATTTCTTTTTAATGCAAACATTTCTTTCTGAAGGTAAAAATTACAATTTTTGAGCAAATTGCAAAAATGCAATTGCCCAATATATATTGGATATATACTTGATGCATGCTGTTCATATTAATTATTAATTAATTATACTAACAAGACTAACAGGGGAATTTCTAGGCTCTTAAATGAAGCTATATCAGAGGTAACTGCTGGAAATTTGACTGTTAAGCAGAAACTAAAATATATAGGTCGCCAATTAATATTATATAATATCTGGCACAGACATCTGTACAAAAAGCAGTATACTTGTATTGCTGCATTCGACTCCATTTTTCTAAAGGGAAACTTCAGAACCTTCCTTCAGGTTCGAGTGAAATAATCGTAGCCAGTAGTTTAGACTAAAGACCCGATCAGTTAGTTACAAGAGAGTGATCATGAGGAAGAAGAGGGGAAAATAATAATTTACTAGAAAGTGGGGTTGTCTCTTAAAAACGGTCTCGGGTTTGTTGAAAAATGTATAAAATCATGAATAATTTGGTATAGAAGATTGACCCCTCATATGTGCAAAGTAGAGTATTTGCGCGGAATGGTATTGGTTTAGTATCCATATCGGATTGAACAGCAAGATGTTATTGAAAAAGAGAAAAGCAGACTTTCATAATAAAACCTATGAAAATATGATGAGTTTGAGCAAAGAGAACTTAAAGAGTTTCAGAAAGATTTAATAATAAAGCAGACTTAAAAGAAAGGGCTCTAAATGAACTACCTCTTGTGGAAAATGAGTTCAGGGTGTTGGAACTTCAAGAAATAAACCCAAAAATTAATTTGTCGAAATTGCATGGTGAAGATTCAACAAATAATGGTTGAAGAATTATTTTTTTGGTTCAAAGTATAAATATTATATTAAGCAAAGAACTTATTTGACATATTTGCAGCACTAGCTAAAAACAAGTCGTCCGTTTTATGAGTACATTGATGGCAGGTGTAGGAAAGTGTCGTTTGATATTTACAATATATCAAACCTTTAGCCTTCGTTACGATTAGACACCTGGATGCAAGTTCCTTGAAAGTTCTTCTTTGTGCATCTACGGGTAAAGCAGCATTGGGAATAGGTGGAATGGCACTCCATTCAATATTATCTTTACCTGTTAACAGTTAAACTGAGAGTTAAGTCCACTTAGTAATGACATAGTTAATTTATTGTATTCCAGATTTATCGATTTAAAATTAATCATAATTGAAGAAATATCGACGGTAGATGCTCGTACGGTTAGCTCTGTTAATGCGAGATTAAAACAGACAACCCCTTCGGTGGTATACCGATCAAAGTGTTTGGTGACTTAAAGTAACTCTCAACTGTTGCAGATAGGTGGATATTCTCTTTTAATCGCAGTGATGCATACAGCACTTTAGTCGGTTCCCTGTTGCGAAAGTTATTCAAATACTTTGGATTAACAGAAGTAATGAGACAAAGGGAGTATCAGGCCTTTGCCATTGGATTAAACCATATGGCATCTGGTACTATGACAAATGATGGCATATCACTCATTGAAACTCAAGTAGTTAATTTCGAAGAAGTTCCCGATGATGCCATACAT